GGTCAGTACATACAATATTCGCTGTATGATTACCTGTCTAGCCGTGGTCAGTACATACAATATTTGCTGTATGTTTACCTGTCTAGCCGTGGTCAGTACATACAATATTCGCTGTATGTTTACCGGTCTAGCCGTGGTCAGTGCATACAATATTCGCTGTATGTTTACCGGTCTAGCCGTGGTCAGTGCATACAATATTAGCTGTATGTTTACCTGTCTAGCCGTGGTCAGTACATACAGTATTCGCTGTGCGTTCACCTGTCTAGCCGTGGTCAGTAACTAACCGTTTGAATCGCAATAAACGAATGCGGCCCAGGTTAACTTACATACCATGTGTTCACATTCTCAGATGTCACAATTGTATTTAAATGTATATTGTTGGTCCGGATTTTTGTATTAAGACAATATATCCTGTACTTAAATACATGTGGTTACACAATTAGTTTAAGATTGACCAATTCAAATTGTATTGGGAAACACAACGGGGGTTCGTTTGATAAAGGAGAACATGATTGACACGGAATCAAAATAAACGTAGTCACATTTTCGGTTAGACAGATTTCTTTTGATAAAACTATTTGGATATTTGTGATGGATGGATGCCGAAGGTTTGGTGCTGGATTACTGTGTTTTGTGTGGAATTGAGATGCTGTATAGGACATGGGGATATTGTCAGGCAGGCATACCGTTGTCACCTTATCCTAGCATTGTCTGGATATTGCTTTCTACTTCGGTGTTACTGACAGCGACATCAATGCATGCCAATTATTGACGGGCTTTATAGCAGATAATTTATGAAATTGCCGAGAAGTCTTTTACGATTCGACCCAACCTTTATACCCACAGGCGGAGACGGCGACAACGCGTCTAAAGGTATCCTGGGTGTATGCTGTGACCCGCCATCGCTACTCATCCTGGTAGGCAGCAATTTAAACTAGTCACTTCACCACTTCTCGTGGAAGCTAACTATTTAAATAGATACATGTTATGTTTCCCATTAAAATGTCGAGAATAATTCCGGTCGGATGATTAAGGGGTAAAATTTAAAATGAAAATAAAAGAAATCGGAACAAACTAGCAGTTACACCTTATTTATACCCAAAACAGAGCATAACCTGAACAATACTATTCTCTGATACCAGACGCTGTTTCATTTGTATGCGTGCATATAACGTTATCTGGATAACAGTCCATATCGACTCAATTGCATTTCCGATTCCATGTTTATTATTATTTTATTGTATTTAATCAAGGCATTTCCTAATGGTATGGTCAATCAAAAACGTGCATGCAATGCTTAACGTCATTCTCTAGATCCTTCTTTCTATTGACCAAGCCGTGATTGACACACGTGATTTTCTGTTACAGGACCCCCACCAGTACGGCAAGGTCACGTCCCTGACCGACCTGTATGACCGCGGCGTGGTGTCATGGCGCCCTCTGACAACCTTCGTGAAAGACTCATTTTATAACCTATGCCTGCCACAGTACCCACATTCGTGACGTATTGTCACATGACGTTGTGTTCACGACTGGGTGACGTTCTTCACCGGTGAAGATGCCCATAAAGTCACTTGAAATTGTTTCGCTCACGGCAATGTACAAGTGTAATTGTACGATGTTGCTGTCTGACCAAACTAAATGTTAAAATGTGAAATACTCTTTAAAAACAACACGTGACTCATGTTTAAACTAAAAGTGAAAAAGCTCGAATAAAGGAAGTCACGTACCGTGCAATAACTGTTATAATAACATGCTAAAAAAGTGAATATTGTGATCTTAAAAAGACGTATATAAGTGTCAACGTTTTTGTTATATTATTGTTCTGTTAGCTTGTTTAATCGTTTTAATATACAATCATAAAAATATCTCTATGTAATTTACTCTCGTTAAAAACGAGTTGCTAAATTTACTCTATTCTTGCTTTTGTCTTGACTTTGCTGTCCAAGTAGCTAGGCTTTCATCAGTCGTATGCTACATATAGTCCGAAAACTTAAACACCCGTGCAGACTTAATCCCTCGGCAGTTTCTGCAAGGGTAGAGTTTGGACTGAGCTAACCCCACAACGTTGTTATCACCCCGAGACTTAAATACCAACGACACTGACAATATTCCAATGGTTCGTGATAGGTTTTTAGAACTTTTAGAACATTCAGATGGAAAAGGTTTCAAAAGCACCTAGTTTTGCTATGGTGTCTTAAATATTTGCGAAGAACACATAAATATAAATCACTTGGAGGTTCGTGAGACTTTGGTTGTTGATTCTAAACTGCTCGTGCCAGTGTTAGTTAGAGAACTAGCATGTGGTTGTGGTATTTAGCATGATTCTGGTTCCTTTAGACATGGCCTATTTCCCTTGGCGCCTTGGTGGGTTTTTAAAGTTTTGTCCTCGGTGTTTCAGCATTTAAACCTGTCTTGAGTTTTCCTTCTTCATTTTTTCTCAAAATTTCTTAAAATTTGGTAGGCCTTATTGACCTTGCATGACTGTGATCCTGTTCGGAACTACGATTTAGCGAATGTTGAATTATTGCTCTATGTTTATCAACGGACGTATTTTGTATCCATTTATGGTGCTCTTATAAGCCATGTCTATGTTACTGAAACACAATTTCTTGTTTGATACATTACACTTAGTAATTTTCTCTACACCACACGTACTGTGAACACATTATTGCGTATGGTGTAGTGTAAATTAGCAATGTATTTCATACCAAGGTATTTAACAAGTTATTTTTTAACAGGTGATCGAGAAGGGAAACCAATAAAATATAAACGTGACATTTTTGCTAATGGAAATATGGTTGTAAATGTAATATTTGGTTCAGTGATTTAAATAATGATTGAATTTATCGTATAATATATTTATGGGCCTTTCAAGTTCTACATGCTCATCATGATAAAAAAAATATACAATTCCCAATAAATAAACTAATAAACATGCTACTATTAAAACGTTAAGTTTACCTACCACTTAACATCGGACAAAGGATCCCCAGGGGCCACTTGTATAAAACATCTCAAAATTGAGGAAAATCTCAAGCAATGTATAGTGTAGGGGATATCCTAGACTTGAGGAAATCTCAAGCAATGTATAGTCTAGGGGAAATCTTAGACTTGAGGAAATCTCAAGCAATGTATAGTCTAGGGGAAATCTTAGACTTGAGGAAATCTCAAGCAATGTATAGTCTAG